GCAAAGAATTGTGATTGTGCGATACAAATTATATATGATTGAATCTTAAATTTTCTGTGGTCGTAAGTAATAGCGAGATACGGATATTATTATTAGGAATAGACCATCATGTGTGACATTTCTTACTTGTGAAGTAAATAACTGATTTCATAAGTTAAAGTGTGGTGAAATTTAAATAAACACATGAATGTTTTGTTATACAACAAAAATTGGAGGCCCGTCAAGAGATTCCACATAAATAACTATCTGAGGGTCAGTGATTAATCTCTAACGTTCGGTAGTGGAATTAGTACTTGAGGTCGTCATAGTACCTTATATGAGGACAGTCATGTTTTGACGGTGTTGGATGTTGCTCTGTCAAGGGCTGCTAATACTGTATCGTTCGAGTATGTTAAGAATCATATGAAGATTGTGAATGACTAATAGAGGATTCATCACTTTTAAATAGTAAGAGATTATGATCTGCATTTTATTCAATTAAGTCGATACCAAAATTCTTGGCCAAGGTATACTCATAAGTCGAAAAATAGATTTCAACTTATCTTGACTTAATAGTGGAGTGAAATATATGCTCGATAATCAAGATTGACACACTTCTATATTTTGTAATTGATCGGATCATATTGATGAAGGGATTATAGTTTCACAGTAAAAGAACAAGTTTGATTATGTCATACTACATGACATTTCTTGTCACATATATTGCCCTGACACATTATTAGATGTCAATCTGGGACGGCGAGTGTGAATTTGTGATAAATTAAAAGGGTGTTTTAATTTATCAATTTTGATTAGATCAAAATAATATTTCATATCGTTAGACATCGTAATCGGGAACCTGATTAGTCGCACACAAAAGGATAATTGGAAGATTGTGATTTGTTAATTAATTAATTTAACAAGCGTTGGATAAATTAATTAATTGTGTTGCTTATTTATAGGTCTGAATTAGTTAATTGGATTAATTAATTCACGGATCGAAATTAATTAAATATGTTAATTAAATATTGGATCGGGTTAGGCCAAGCCCGTTTGGCTTATATAAATATGATTAGGGTTTTCAAAATTTGTAGAGAAAGTTCATTATTATTGCTAGCACAAGAAGAAAATCTTAATCCTACAATCTTGTTCTTTGTGTGGATCATCGTAGGAACTAGACAATTGGACAGTTGTGGGAGGCAGATCAAAGTTGCTTGAATAAAGAAAAAGCAAAGGGGTTTGTAGATCTAGAAAATAATATGATTTTTATCACAATTTTTATCTAAACACAAAGACTATTCCTGATGGACATTGAAAATTGTTTTGTTTTCCGTTATGCATGATAAGTAGATTTCCAACAAGAGGAAAATATTTCCTATCCATGTTAATAAAAAATTCAAATGAATAAAACTATTTTCACACCTTGAAAAAAAAGGTATCATGCTATTCATTCTCAATTCATCACCTATTTATATGATAGTGGACCATGGTTTTATCATACAATGAATACAAATATATTCCAACTTTATTGAACAATGAAGTAGAACATTATTTCCTATCTTCTTTTATAAGAGCCACTTTGGAAGTCCTACCTTCTCTTATAAGAGTCGCTTTGGAATGTACTATTCATTATTGTAACCCTCATCTCACACTTTGTTGAGTTAACTGTTCCTAAATTGGTTTTGACTTTTGAATACAAAATATTTTTTTCGTATTCCCTCCTTATTTTATTAGTAGTAATATATTTTTAAATAATATTTTATCATACTGTAATTTTATTTTATTTTAATTGGTCTTCAGAAATGACATCGTTTTCTATTTTACCTGCAGCTTACATGCTTTGAATTTGACACACAATACTTTTTTCCATTTTCTCACGCTATCAACTATCGACCATATCCTATAATTTTATTAGTAATAATATTTTTTTAAATAATTTTTTATATAAAAGTTATTTTTTATTTCTAAAATGTAAAAAATTACTTATAAGTAAAAAAATCACTTTAATTTATTTAGCCCTTGTTTGAGCCCCATTTTTTGGGAAAGAATGAATTTTTGAATAGTGTATTAATAGGAAATGTGTGGTTAAAAAATGAGGAAAAGTTTTGGATTTGCGTGTAATATTATTTTATTAAAAAATGTGTGGTTGAAATGATATCAAAATATTATTGAAAAATGAATTTTTTCAAAAGAATGGGGCTCAAACAAGAGTTTAAAAGTAATAAAAAAATCTATAATTGTAAAAGCTACTTATAGATAAAAAAATATTAACTTCAACATTTTTAAGTAAATATTTAGAGTTTAAATTAAATATTAATAAAAAAATTACACTATCTAAAATGTAAAAAGTTATATATATAAAAAAACACTTCAAATTATTTAAAAGTAATAAAAAATTTATAATTGTAAAAGCTACTTACAGGTAAAAAAATATTAATTACTCATTCTCTTATAATTGCAAAAGCTACTTATTGTTGGAATATTGTGGTGTTAATGAAACAGGATTATCGCATACCGTATATGTAGTTTAGATACTGATTTTAAGCATATCGTATATGCAATATGCTGTATATGCAGCTTACCATATTTGCAAGTAGCTTACTGTATTTACAGCTTACCATATTTGCAAGCAACTTACCATATTTGCACCTTACCGTATTTGTGTCTATAACATAGTTCTTGAAATGAGTTTCGAGAGAATATAGAAGATTTATACATTCGACTACTATATAATTGTCGATGAATTTATAAAGTTAGCTTGTTATCCAAATTTTTAATTTTTTAAATGATGTCTCTTTTGAAATTAAAAAAATTTAAAAGTTTATTAGAAACGTCAAAAATTATTGTCGCAAAAAACATCAATAGAATAATTGATTTTTTAAGAAAAAAGACGAGTTATATGCATTTTTTAACACACACGTTTAATATACGTTTAACTATTTTCGATATTCATTTAGATGATTCGATGTGTTTATGATATAGTTCTCGAAATGAGTTTCGAGAGAATATAGAAAATTTATGATAGATTTTTATAAAAAAAATTAAATAAATCACATAATGGAAAAAAAAATTTTGACAAAAAAAAAACCAATAGAGCAACTCCGCGCACGCGGAGCAATTTGGATGCTAGGAGCAAAATTGCTCCTGAGCAATTCCTGGCACCCAGGAGCAATTTTGCATGCACGGAGTTGCTCTGTCGGCCTCTCCTTTTTTTTTTTTTTTTTTTTTTATTAATAATGATGCTTAGTGTCATATTTTTTTTATTGGGTGATTGATATTTTTTTGTGTCAACTTTTTTCCTTTTTCATTAGGTGATTTATTTATTTAATTTTTTTTAAAACCTATCACAAATCTTTATAAATCTTCTATATTCTCTCGAAGTTGATTTCAAGAACTATATAATAGATACATCGAATGATCTAAATGAATATCAAAAAATAGTTAAACGTGCATAAAACGTATGTGTTAGAAAATACGTATAACTCGTTCTTTTTTCTTTAAAAAAATCAATTATTTTATTAATGTTTATTATTTTTTCGCGACAATTTTCTCAATATAATTTCCTTTTTTCCTTAGTGATTGATATATATTTTTTATACAAATCTATTTTACCCTTATATAATGTGACACGGAGTATATTAAATCATATATATGGTTTATTATCACTTTATAATTTATATGAGGGGCCAGAAAGACTCGGTCATAGGAATTTAGACCACCTACGTGCTGGTAAACGAAAACCACCTCGACCGGATCAGAGTAAACAACAATGTCGAATCAGGCCGCCCCTTGCCTTGAAAGAATTCACACGCGGCCGCTAGCTTTCCCAAAATAAGGGGAGATCTGCTGCTTTTATAAATTGTTATATTATTTTTCCTACTTTTCTCTATTTCTTTAAGCAACATCTATAAAAAAATATATATACTTTTTTTTAGGGTTGGGCAAATATTCCGAATTGAACCGAACCCGACGGTTCTTGTCAAATTAAATACTTGAACGAGTATCTGAATTGATAAGAACCGAATCTTTCTAATTTTTTTTATATTGAATAAATCAAATTATTTTAATTTTAATTTTTTCTAAACAAATTAATAATTTCTAAATCCAAAATTTTGGCCCAATTACCTATTTTATTGTTTTATTTCTTAGCCCATCAAGATCCAATTCACTAAATAACCCTAAACACCTACACTAAAGTGCATAACGTTGTCTTGACTCTCGCAGCCTCGCTAACATTCCAAAACCTATACAATTGTCGACCGACGCTGCGACCTCCGATCGAAACTGTGACCTCCTCTGACCGAAACTTTGACGATTTGACCGTAGCGATCATTTGAACAAGGTAGTCTACTAGTCTCTGACATTAAAAAACCATTGAATGTGTCCTTAGTTGTATTTATATAATGTTGTTATAAATGTTAAAAAATTTAATTATAATATAGAACCGAACGGAATTGAATCGAATCGAATTTAACCGAACGGAACCGAACCCGAACGATTTCATAATTATATTTGTACCCGACGGTTCCATTTATTAGATACCCGAAAATTTTGGTTCGGTTCGGTTCTAATCGGTTCTCTTTAGAACCGAATCGACCCACGCCCACCTCTACTTTTTTTCTTTATTCCTTTACACAACAAGTAATCAAATTTGTAGATTTATCGAGAGAAATAAATAGATATTTTCACACCATAATATTACCTAAAAAATAACATAGCCCGTGTATTGCACGGGTGGAAAAATAGTATGGTAAAAATGAGAAACATATATTTATTACAATACGTAGTCAAAAAAAAAAAAAAAAAAAAAAAACACCCCAAAAAAAAAACACAAAAATTTAAAAAACGAAAAAAAAAAAAAAAAAAAAAAAAAACAAGGAGGGAATTTTTTTTAAAAATAATATCTGAAAAGAGAATGGGCGGAAGTGTAACAATTGATACTCAAAGGGCGTCAATGTAATTTACTTAAATAGAAAACGCACCAACAAAGTGGAAAAAAACCCTTTGATGAACCAGTAAATGTTTGTCAACTTTCATACGGCGCCTTCCAAGAAAACCATCCACTTTTTCTTGAAAATAATTTTCCTTGGTCAATCACGCGATATCTGACCCAGTCTGTATTTTTTTCTTTTACATTTCGGAAAGCTTCTTTTTATGGATCTGATCCTACACAAAAACGAAAAACCCCACGAGCTAAGGAATTTCCCAGATTCAATTCACCCGACACGAGTTCAAGAATTCATCATCTTTTGGGCATTTGAAGTATTCCAGTTTGGCAATAAATAGAGATTTTTTGGTTGTTTATTGAATCTTGAGGTGATTTATCGAGATTCTTGGTTAAAACTCCATGTTTGAGCTATTTGACGGCTGGTCTTGCCGAAAACTGAGATGAGTCGTTGAAGAAAGCTGTGAATATTTGGACTTTGAAGGTTTACTTTAGCATTTGAGAATTCGTGATTACATGAGTTTCGGATTTTACTTCATGAGTTTGCTGGGATGATGATGATAATTCAAGAAAAAATGGGTATCAGAAAAGTTGTTTATTGCATTTCTTTTGTATTTCTATTTTTCACTTTAGTAACGGTAGCCATGGAGAGCAAGATGGAGGAAGAAGAACCTTTACTGGCGTATCTAATCTACTCTGGGGGGATAAATAAGGACATGGTACTGAGTCATTACTTCTTGTTTCACTTTCTCTATTCCACAAACACATATATATACCTCTAAATACACATTTATCATACTTGTGTGCATATATATATAAACTTTAATGGGATATTTTTTATGGGAGATTTTATTGTATTTTGTTTAGCAGCATGGTCTTGAAAATGAATTTGTTTCCCATGTCGAGAAACATTCCTATGCTAATTTGATCGAGAAATGTGTCACACATTTCGTGCCACCAAAAAGCCTTATGTACATTTGTGTTGTTGCATATGTAAGCTTTTAATCTTGCGTGTTAAGGAATGCCCGCATATATGTTATCATTCTTCACTAAGGTTGTGTTCCCCATTTTACGGTCAAGTTAGAAAGTAGCGGTAAGACATTTCCCTTTTCCCATTTTCTTGTCTACGAAGTCCTTCACGTTGATAAGATTAAAGGACATCTCCCAAATATATTCATAATAATTTAGAAGAGAAAGAATCCTTCTTTAGTTTTCCTGTCTTATGTTTTCTCCATTTCTTATAATAAGATTGAGTAATGCAGTAATTCTGTTGAAGAAAGATAAAATTGGTGGCATTGAATTGGGCGGATCTTTTCTAGTTCTTTCTCATCACTGTCTTCTTTTAACTATCCCTTTTTTTATTTTATAAGAAACATAGTTGAATAGAGATGGTCTGTGAAAGAAACAGCGATAATTTTCCATGAAATACATCAGTCAAATTTGTCATCTTTCGCACTTAAAAGAATATTGGATGCTTATCATTCCAAAAATAGCTTTTGTCAAATTTGTAAAATTGATATTAAGTCGATTATATGTATAAACGTTGTCGATTAACGAGCCACTTCATTAATTTATATATCATTTCTTTCCATCTTCTTTAATTTAGTACATGTTGGGATGTGCTTAAATTAAAATAATCACTTCTAGCAGACATACTTGTAGGACCAACAACTATTACTCACTTATTATTTATACATTCCGTAGGACTCATAGCTTACAATCACTTTCCCAAACATGCTCTTAGATTTTTCTCTTCTTAGTACCAAACTTGTATGATACTATAGGAAGTAGAGTGGCCTTTTAAATTTGGGTTAAATGACCTTCCTGTGCTACTTAATTTAGAATTTTCCATTGTCAAAGGAAAGTTTTGATACACGTGGAAACAAGTTTTTCTTTACTCCAGTTTTATGATACATTATTCTACTTGTCTTTTAAAACTTTCATGGGCTTCTCACACATTGTTCTAATTACCTTGATCTAACATGTCTTTTGATGATGTCTTGTATATTGTTAAAGTTTTGTAGGTTATTTTTGTCTCATCAATTATACGCTTATAATTAATGGAAGAAGTAATTTTGTATCTTTGAAGCCATCATTTAAAGATTTTCTTCTTAGAAACATTATGTTTTTATGAGTGTAATTAAGCAAACACTTATTAAATTTTTAGAAGGAAATGATCCTATAAGGAAGAAAAAAAAGTTCCATATTCTTCTCTCGTCTTTTCAAAGTTAATTTTTAGGGAATGAGCTTGATCAGAGTCTGGAATGTCATGTATGCCCATTTATACATTTTGACAATGCACACCAAGAATCTGATGAAATTCTCATGCTGCAGGCTGAATTGTTATGGATACATTGCAGGCCAGAGTTGATACTTGCCCAAACAGCTCTAGATCGTGAACTATATCTCCCAGAGCAATGGTCGAGCTACAGTAAGGAACTTCTAAGTATCAGGTCATCAACCAAAGAAGATCTCCATAAAACTGTCAGCATGTTGCAACCTCAAGTTAAGCAGATCCTTTTGGATTGTTTAATGGAGAAAAAACTTACGTTTCTTATATCTGGAGAAGAGAGAGGTGTAAAAAATTGGTATACCAGGTACTTGGGATTCTTCTTTCCCAGGTCTGATCCATCTAGACGCCGTGAATTAGTTCAGACATTTGGAGAAGCACCTGCTCCATCCCTGATGGTTTCATCCCCTAATCCAGCACCTTCAATTCCAATAACTCCTAATGTTCAAAGTCCTGCTAGCCCTCCACTGCCTCCATTTTTTCCTCCAGACTCCGGCTTGTCAAACCTGCCCCCTACAGCCGGTGAACGATCCGTGGATCCAAATTCTTCTTCTGGTGTGGCATCAGACAAGAAAAAGAGCAACAAGAAAACCATTGTCATTGCAGTTGTTGTGACTGCTGGGGTGACACTTGCCCTTTCTGTGCTGCTCTTTTTATGCTATCGTAGATTCTGTGGGACTGGCTCTGCACTGGGAAGAAACGACGAAAGGCCTCTTCTTAGCTTAAGCTTAAGTGAATATTCGATTGGTACATTTGCTGTTCCTAATATTTCTTCTTTAAGAGACTATATTGCATTTTCTTGTTCTGATTTTTCTTCTGAATTTTGATCTTTCAGCCTCTCCGCAGAAGTCATTTGGCCTGACAACTTCAATAAATGGAGAAAATCTTGGTAATCAGTCATTTACTGGCAAGTCAAACCACAACAAAAGTGGTCACAGTTTCTATGTGGAGTCACATTCTATAAGTGATTCAAAAATTGAGCTTCCAGTTGGAGCAAATGCTGGAGCTGCTGTCAACTCCGTCATGAATTCAGCAGGTCTACCACCTGGAATGTTGGCTACACCAGGACTGCCTCCACTGAAGCCACCACCTGGAAGGACAGATCCTTCTAAGCCACCTGCAGGCAATACAGTCTGTCCTGCGGCCCCACCTCCTGTACCACCGCCACCGCCACCACCACCACCTCCGCCTCTTAATCCTTCATTTGGTGGACCACGTCCTCCCCTGCCTGGACCCGCTCCTCCACCTCCTATACCCTCTGGCATCAAGACTGGTCCACGTCCACCACCTCTTCCACCTACTGGTGGCCCTCCACCAAGGCCTCCTTCCATAGGCTTAAAGCCTCCTCGACCTTCGCCACTCGGACAGAATCATCCATCAATTGCTACTTCAACTGATGAAGGAGAGGCTGCTGGTTCTAAAGCTAAGCTGAAGCCTTTCTTCTGGGATAAGGTTTTGGCCAACCCTGATCATTCAATGGTTTGGCATCAAATCAAATCAGGGTCCTTCCAGTAAGTATTCCCCCCTCATTGTAGTTTGTTAATTGATTTATATATGGAAGTAAATACTTCTATGAACAGGTTCAATGAAGAGATGATAGAAACTCTATTTGGCTATGCCCCTGCTGAGAAAAACAAGAATGTATTCAAGAAAGAGTCTTCATCCCAAGATCCTTCAACCCAATATATCCAAATAATTGATTCAAAGAAGTCACAGAATTTATCAATTCTTCTCAAAGCATTAAATGTGACTACAGAAGAAGTATGTGATGCACTTCATGAAGGTGACATATTTTGTTTCTTATTAAAATTTTCTGAGACAATTTACTTAAAGAGAAGAACTTCATTATAGGAAAAAATACTTGAAAACAAGTTATGATGACTAAATCAGATAAAAGTTGGATTTCATTTAATTCATTGATTGATCAGATGATCTGATTTATGCATAACTCTGCTACAACATGTTGCATCAAAAGGGAGGGAGGACTGATATGGCCGATAACATTTATTTGAGAGTCAATAAACATAATAAGCGATTTTTGACAAAAGTAAACATTTGTTTTCGTATTTCATCATTTTTTCCAATAGGTTTGAGCTGAGTTAGAGGTGCTAGTACTCTAATATTCCTGTTGTCATAGGGAGTATCTTGACATATTAGAAATACAAAACATGATTCAGAACTACTCCTTGATATCTTTTATATTGATTATATCTTGATATCCTTTCTTTCTAAGTCAAGAGGTTTGTTTTTATTTTTCTGTGTCTACTTTGCTGCATTAGGTGAAGTAGCACATGATTCAGACTTATTCCTTTGTATTCACGTCGATATTGTTAGTTTTTTCCCTTATGTAGTCATATTTCTGAACTCTTCAATTCAAAGGATCTGTAATCTTTTTCTCGAGAATCTTATTGATAGTGCCCAATGCCTCTTAGGGCACTCTTGGATCATCTTATTTTATGCCTTATCATATTAGATGGGCAATAATAGAATGCTAGGTATACTGATGACTATTACAAATGAACTTTATATATGGACCTCAATGAAAGATGCTAAAACTATAATGAAGATTTAATTGTCTGCTCTCAAAGGAAGAGAGAAGCACTTTGCTCGAGGAAGCTTGCACAATCTAAATGCAAGATTAACCATTTTGCTTGTTATCTGCAACTATCCATCAAACATTTTAATTATTGTATTGGTTTATTATTCTGAATCCATTTCATAAAAGCCTGAATTTGCTATTGCTTTATGGTGATTTTATATCTCAAGAAAGCGGCTGACCTACTGAATTAAATTAGGCAATGAGCTTCCATCAGAGCTTGTTCAGAATTTGTTAAAGATGGCTCCGACATCTGACGAAGAATTGAAGCTGAGGCTCTACAGTGGGAAGCTTTCTCAACTTGGGCCTGCAGACCGCTTCCTTAAAGTCTTGGTGGACATTCCATTTGCCTTTAAGAGGCTAGAATCCTTGCTTTTTATGTGCACTCTGCAGGAGGATACAGCAATGGTAAAAGAGTCTTTTGCAATCTTAGAGGTGCGCCATTCTTGCTATAAATTGCATCTTTTTATCAGCTTATAATTATTAAGAAATGTCCATTCAGTAATGAATATTAGTTCCACAATCATTTCAGGAAATATGAAATGTAGTGATTCTGGGTAACTAAATTTTGTGATGCAAGTCTCTCATGGATGGACTAAATTTTATGCTGTCCCTTAGAAATGTGTAATATATTTAATCTCATGTATAAAGAGTTCAAAACAAAATCCATAGAAAGGTGAAAATTTTTGTTGTAGTGCAGTGACTTTTCAGCATTCACCTTTTACCTTTCCATGTGTTATTTTCACTTTTTTCTTTATATATTAATGTGAGAGCAATTGAAAGTGATGAATCTACAACCTCTTCCATAACCTGGTGTAAATTATGAGACCATTGGTTATTCTTCTAGTTAGATACCACAATTTTCATGTCAGTAAACTAATTTCTCATGCTTGTTCAGTACAAGAATGCTTGCAGCACCTTTCGTTTTCTATCAAATCTTAAATAATTGCTCAGTGTTTGGAACTGGCTATGCTTTTTTATTTACTCTCTCCCCTCTTGATGCATTTTATGCTTGATATAATGCTTGAAGTAGGGATGTCAAAACCTTTAATATAGGACCCTGGGCTGTGTTGGGTATCACCTCCACGGCCCCAGCAGCTGAGCTGTATTTTTTCCCATAAAAAATATGCAGGGGACTATGCCCCCCATTGGACTTAAATGTGCTGCACCATGCATTTAGCTGGCTGCATCACGCATTTAATGCAGCCGGCTAAATGTCAAATGTTAAAGTTGGAAATATTTTTTAAAAGCAAATGTTATATTTTTCTAATTAAAAATATTCAGAAAATGGACCGGGCGACGAATTGGCAGTAAAGTATGTGGTTAAAATTAATTGTTGACTTTGACTTAGATTAAAATCTAGATTTTAAGCCCCATCAAACAGGGCTTTGTTCTCTTTACCTTGAAATGCAATGGGGAGAGGTTTAAATACCATTTGTAACCCCCCCCCTTCCGGGGAAGAAATTTAAATAAAAGAAGATAAATAAGAAGTAATACATGATGCACTTGCACACACTCATGCATGAGTCATAAACTAAAAATATGACAATGATCATACAATGGCATATGGTTTCTAAATTCTAATCTTTTCGATGCATTTATCAGCAATGACACTGATTGCCTTAATCTTTCTAAAAAATTATACTTACGCCATCTCAATTTAAATTGAAGGCTGCTTGCGCAGAACTCCGGAAAAGCAGGTTGTTTCTCAAACTTCTTGAGGCTGTTCTTAAAACTGGAAATCGCATGAATGATGGAACATTCAGGGGTGGTGCACAGGCATTTAAGCTTGATACCCTTCTAAAATTATCTGATGTAAAGGGAACAGATGGAAAAACGACGCTCTTGCACTTTGTTGTTCAAGAGATAATCCGTTCAGAAGGTGTACGAGCTGCCCGGGCGGACAAACAGAGCCGGATCACATCCAGCCTCAAATCTAATGATCAACTTGAGGATTCTTACCAAGATTCAGATGAGCATTATAGAAACATTGGCCTGCAGGTTGTCTCAGGTCTGGCTGGTGAGCTTGAAAATGTAAGGAGAGCTGCAATATTAGACCCCGACGGCTTAGCAGGAATTGTTTCAAAGCTTAGTCAGTCACTTATAAAAGCCCAAGGTTTTCTGAATTTGGAAATGAAGAATATACCAGAAGGAAATGGGTTTCACCAGACTTTAAAAAGTTTTGTGCAGAATGCTGAGGTTGATGTTACGTGGTTACTCGAGGAAGAGAAAAGAATAATGGCTCTGGTGAAGAGCACAGCAGATTACTTTCATGGAAATGCTGGGAAGGATGAGGGTTTACGATTATTTGTTATTGTTCGGGATTTTCTGATAATTTTAGATAAGGTATGTAAAGATGTGAAAAATTCGCCAATAAAACCATATAGGACACCTCGAAAAGAAAATTCGACTGTGACACGTACCGATCCCCGCCAGAATCCTCCCATTGATCCTCGTCAGCGGTTGTTTCCAGCTATCATGGATAGACGGATGGACAGTTCTAGTTCAGACGATGACTCCTAGTTGTTTAATCAGAACAGGTATAATAACTCGTTCCACAATTTCTCTTACGAGGATGTGAAAATATATAATAGTTTCGAATCTAGACAACTTGCGATACGTTAATACAAGACGTTATTTACTTCACATTGGCATGTATTTAGGTAGTGCAGAGCAGCAGAGATTACCGTAAAGGCGGATACAGTGATACATTTTCGACTCTTTCCTTTGACTACTATTAATGGCGCTTCTAGCTGCAAAGCTAACCGAAGTTTCAAGTTTCAATGTTGCAGGGAGGAAGACTTGATAGAAGTTTCTTAGCTTTGCTTTAATGGAGCTTCAATTATGGATCATATTTAATTTATTGTAATTGTTTATTTTTCATTATTCTTTTTTGAGTTCTGTCCATATTCCTTTTTCTATTTTTTATTTTTTTTGTTTCCGTTTTTGAATCGAACAAGTAGCCAGTGCATTACTGGGAATCATCTGAAACAAATGCTTAAATTAGATGTAAAAGGTAATATGTATTTTGCTAAATTCAGTGATTGATAATTGATTCATGTATTTTATAAAATGGAATTTCAATTTTCTGCTGAGGTTAAGAAATATGATTTTTTTTCTTTTTCCTTCAGCGTTACATAATTTCTTATATTCTGCAGTCTGTTAACCTTGAAGTTGACTAGGTGATTATGAGTTTAATCTTGATTATCATTACTGAAGGGGATTAAGAACCAAGAAGAAAAATGGGTTCGAAAATTTATTGATTTATAGGAATTTTGTTACAAAAAACAATTTAATTTTCACAATTTGTCAAAATTAAGTCATTTGTGCTTGGTTGATAAAGATGCCACGGAAATGGTGATTTTATTTATGTTCAAAATGTGGTAAATAGAGAAACAAAACATAATCCAGTGTCCATTGATAATTTCTTGATAAATGAGTTATTAGACGATATTGTTTATATTATCAGTGAATTTATATTATAAATTTGTTTGCTAAACGAAGGGCGAGAATTAGAAGAGACATTTCCAACGTATCACCAGGCACAACTTTAAAAAAAATAAAAAAAATCCTTAAACAGTAGATGCGCGTAATGGAATCTAGAAGTACGCCAAACATTTTGTTAAATCTTATGTTGTCATTGTAATGGTTGTGTTGAAAATGACATATTTGTTAATTTTATCTGAAAGCAATCTAATGTTATTATATAATCTCTCATTGACAATCACGAAAATAAATATTTCTAATTGGTTTATTGAGGAACCTAGTGAAATCCATAACTAGAAGGTTCTGATCAGTATAGTCCGACGAGGCTTATCAGCTTCTTGCAAGGTAAAATGTTTGACCATTCATTTTGTATGCCTGGAAATGCAGATTCTTGATTTTTCTACTGAATTACTTTAGGCCTTTGATTTTTGTAGCATAATTATTTGTTTCTGTGTGTATTCACTGCTGAATTATGCTGCTACTGTTGAAGAATTGTCTCACAATAAGTAAATTAAGTTTGGGACTGAAGTAGTTATTTTTAAAGACCACAATTCCATTAACACATTCGGCTAAGGAGCTGTCTAGTATGTGGAGAAATAAGGTGACAACCCAATGGAATCTTGAGGTAAAAGAAAAGGAAACACAATAATTCAGATGAAGGAAACTATAAAGAGGTGGACTTTTCGCTATAAAGATAAGAGTGTGCAGTGATGTAAATTTAGGGGGTAAGAGACAAGTCTGGGAAGTTTATGGAGAGTGAGGTTTTCTCAACTAATAAAGTATTCTTTTCGCTGGCGGTTCGTTGAATCACATTTAATTTGTGTTGTTCCTTTTTGGCTCATTTTTGTGTTTTTCATTTCCATTGTGTTTGATGCGTGTCTCTGTCTAATCCCTCACGCAGAACATAAATTGTTTTATAGTATCTTTGGTAGGTTAAACTGGATAATGCTGGAAAGGTTTTAAGAAAAGAAAATGAGCTAAAATGTTGCATTCTCTTGTTGATTATTGTCCAATGTCCACTACAGCTTACCCTTGCTGTCATATGTTGTCTCTCAACTTAACAATTTGATGTAGCGTTGCTCATTTCCCCAGGGAGTTTATGGCTGAAACATTGATGAACATTGCTATTGAAGTGGTACGCAAGTACAATAGCCTCAAAGATAAGGTGCAAATTCTTAAAAGGAAAATTGAACGGCTAAGCAGTCAAGCAGCTGACGTGACTATAATGCTAAGAGAGGCAGAAATTCACTCGAGCAAGAAAAGGAAAAGGGAAGTTGAAGATTGGCTTGCCATTGTAGGAAAAAGGAAAAAAGAATTTGAAAGCCTAGAAAAATCAGTTAATGAAAGCGGATTTTATTCACGTATACAACTGGCAAAACTTGTTGATAAAATGATTGAGGAAGTGGCAGAACTTGTCGAGCAAGGCACATTTTCTGAAGGGCTAGTACTTGATGTCTGTGAATCAAAGGGGGAGCCACTTGTGACAACAGGATGGAAAGGCCAAACATTTGAAGTTAATTTGCAGAAAGTTTGGCTTAGTTTAAGGGATGCTAAAGTTTCAGGTATTGGCATTTATGGAATGGCGGGAGTGGGCAAAACGACTATGGCAATGCATGTCCATAACGATCTCTTGACGGAATCTCTATTCTTAGGTAATGTGTATTGGATCACTGTTTCACAAGAGTTTAGCATTCACAAATTGCAAAATGACATTGCCAAAACCTTGGATCTGGATATTTCAAATGAAGACGATGAAAAGAAGAGGGCAGCCAAATTGTCACTGGCATTTAGGAGAAAGAAGAAATTTGTACTCATACTCGATAATTTATGGAATGGTATTGCTGTAGAGAAGATTGGAATTTCTCCTGAAATGGATGGACTCAAGTTGATCATAACGAGTCGATCACTTGAGGTATGCCGTTCTATGAAATGCCAAGATAATATAAAAATTGAACCTCTACCGGAGGAAGACGCATGGAAATTATTTATCGAGAAACTTGGTTATGGCATAAAACTTCCATCAGAGACAGAAAAAATCGCAAAGAAAGTGGCAAAAAGATGTTCGGGTTTGCCACTTGGGATTATTACCATGGCTGGAAGCATGAGTGGGGTGACGGACGTTCATGAATGGAGGGACGCTATGGAAGAATTGAAAGAATCTTCTATGGGACGAGATAACATGGAAAATGAAGTATTACCAATTCTCCAATATAGTTTTAATCGTCTGAGGGATCCAAAATTACAGAGGTGTTTTTTGTATTGCTCTCTGTATCCCGAAGGTAAAAAAATCCCGAGATATAGACTGATAGCCAAATTTATTTCTGAGGAGCTGATGGATAAACGGAAGAGTAGACAAGCAGAATTCGACCAGGGTCATGCAATGCTGAATAAACTAGAGAACGTCTGCTTACTGGAAGGTGCTGAAAATTATCAGAAGGAAAAGTACGTGAGCATGCATGATTTGATGAGAGACATGGCAATAACGATCACGAAAGATAGCCATAAATACATGGTAAAAGCTGGACTTCAACTGAAGGGAATGCCAGAGGAGCAGGATTGGAAAGTGGGCCTGGATAAGGTTTCCTTGATGCGTAACGAGATATCTGAAATTTCACCAGGCATGTCACCAAATTGTCCTAACATTTCGACTTTAATTCTAAGAGAGAATCCTTTAAGGCTGATTCCGGATTCGTTCTTTGCGCACATGCATGGCTTGCATAATCTCGACTTAAGTTATATCAAGATTGAGAAGTTGCCGAGTTCAATATCAGACTTGGAGAATTTATGTTCACTATTGCTCAGAGGTTGTGCCAAGCTTAAATTTGTGCCACCCCTAGGAAAGCTCAAAACACTGAAGGAGCTGGACCTAACAGAAACTAGAATTAAGGAAATACCTCAAGGCATGGAAAACTTAGGCAACCTCAAACGCCTCGATTTATTAGCTGTGCGCCTGAGGACGATACCAACAGGGATTTTGCCCAGACTCTCAAATCTTCAGCGTCTCATGCTTCCATATCGTATGGAAGTGCCAGTGGAAGAACTCGAGGGGTTGAAAAAGCTGGAAGAATTTCAAGGTGCGTTGCACGATGTATGTGAGTTCAACCAATTTATTAAGTCTCAACAGAGTCACGGGCAACTTGGGTTCTACAATATTCGCATAGGTAAGGCAGAATCTCATGAAGATTTCTGTGAAGATCTGGAAAAATTAAGAGACAAAAGGGTGATTTTAAGAGGTTGCACTCTCAATGAAGTAGGAAAAAGAGGAAAGGCTATACTATTTGCTCGGGACATTCAGCACTTGGAAATTGATAAGTGCAACAACCTGAGTAGCTGTTTTTTGAATGATTTCCCATGGTTTAAAAATCCAAGAAATTTGAGGAGTTGTGAAATTTTTCGTTGTAAAGAAATTGAATGCTTTTTGACATTGTCCTACCACAAGGAACTGATTGCAGGAGGAACACAAGGTTCTCACAGGGTTCCACTCCAAAACCTTGAATACTTACATCTATCTGACTTGCCTAACTTTATTGGCATGATTAAGTGGGAACCGAGAATGGTTGCATACCCTCCCCGTGAAATGTTTTCTTGTCTAAAAAAATTAGACATTAAATACTGTGACAGAATCGAGAAGCTTTTGCCACGGTGTTTGCTGCAAAACCTTTGTAATTTGGAATTTTTGTACCTTTTCTCTTGCAACAACATGGAAGAAATAGTAGCCGATGAAGAAGAAGGTATGGATGTTACCAACTCTATAACACTCCCGAGGTTGAGGCATTTATCCTTGAATTGCCTGCCAGAACTGAAATTGATCTGCAAAACAACAATGACTTGCAATTCCATAGAATCTATTGATTTATGGGGCTGTAAAAAACTAAAGAAGTTGCCTTTCTTTCAATCGACTACTGATGGACAACCACATTCTCCAACGGCTCTTAAAGTGATTGAGATATGCAAGGAAGACAAAGAATGGTGGGAATCATTGGAGTGGGAACAACCTGATTCCCGAAATATAATTCAATCTTTTGTTAAATTCTATTAGCTCCTTGTAGATATTCAGTTGTAGGAATTAGTCGATAAAGGCTTCATCATTATCCTTTCCCTCAGAGATTTTATATACTAATATTATGTACAAAATTTTCTTTTGGAACACTAGTCTCTTGTAATGCCATTTGTGGGGATAAATTTTCAAATCATAAATAGATTTAGCTCGTATGTATTATAGTTTTTGTATTTAAAAATCAAAAGGTACTTTTCTTTCAAGATATGCACAAGCACTTTCTAAAATAATTTGTAATTTAAACATATTTGGGTTTGTCTGTCATTCTGGTTGCACATGCATCTTAATAACTTTAGCAGATACCATCCAATAGTCAACTGATAGGGTACATTATTGAAGTATTTAGACATACATAGTACTATACAAGATTTAATGTCTCACTTATGTTTTAGGCGTACATAATACTATACAAGATTGGAGAATAAGGAAGCTTGAATTATTTGAGTTGAGATCAAAGTGCAGCTTTAGTATTGGCCATCTTCAATCAACCAATTAGGTACACTTCCATGTAAGAACCCGACAAGAAAATGAACTGTTATTTTGTCACCATGATTTCTCATTCACAGTTCGGATTAATGTATTAAATTTTGTTACCTGAGAAAGGTATATATCACCAATATTCCCTAAGAAAGGGCAGAAGGACATCATGGACATTGGGATGATTCCACTCTAATGATTCCCACCATTGTTTCTCTTCTCTTCCTATCTTTATATCTTTGAGAAATGGGGGAGCAGATGGTTGTCCATCGAGGAGGATCTGTAGGTGCAAAGGGACCTTCTTTAATTCTGTACATTTATGTATAGAAATAGACTCAATGGAATCACAATTCATCGTCCCCTTGCAAATGCTCTTTAACTTTGACAGTTTATGAAGTGATAAGTCTTTTAAATTTGGCAGGGTGATGTTAGCACTACTGTTTACAGTAGGGTCTCTGCCATAGTGATCATCATCTCCTATTATCTCTACCATCTCATCACAATTAGAAACATCCAACTTTTGGAGATTATGGAGGTTCTGTACTAAACTCCACTGGAGAAGCTTCTTTATTTTTCTACAATCATAAATACACAACATTTTAAGTTGGGAAAAAGTGCCAGGTGGAATTGATGCAACTTCTGCTCCTCCTTCCCACTTGAGGAGACCCATGAAATTTGGCAAACCATTAAGAAATAAATCTTCAAGGCTTTGGAATGGTACCCCACGATACTGTTCTTCTTCCCTCGCAGATGATAGCCTCATAATGCACTCTATATTGTCCTCAACTGCTATGTCGCATTTTTTTAGGTCTTTAGTATTATACAACATTGGGAAATAATCTAATAAGCAACAACTCAAGCCAGATCCCTCAAAGAGTAGTTCCTCAATATCTTGTGGCAGTAAATTTTCATCTACGCCAAACAAGGACCCAATGAGACTGTCCTCTCCGAAATGTATCACTTTACAAGGCGGATAGTATTCGTCATATCCAAAAACTTCTCCTGGCTCGTTTATAATAATGTGGTAGGAGTTGAGTCGCCATTCACTTTGTTGAGACTTGATTAATCGATTAAGATCAGATGCACTATTCAATCTGCCATCAAATAGTTCCAATTGTTTCAATCTTTCAACATCTGTTGGGGGTACTACATGACATGGCAATGTGAGCTCTTGAAGGTGTAAGAGTCTATTCAAAATGCCGGCCGGCATATCATTTAAATTGCAACAATCCTTATATAGGAGTTCGAGGTTGGTCAAGCTTTCCATACCTTGGGGAACTTCCTCAATGCTAGTATTTGTTAGGTCCAGCTGTCTCAGTTCTTTGAGCTTCTCCAATGGTGGCACATATACAAGATTTGCACATTCACCGAGCAATAATGCTTTGAGTTTCTCAAGTCTGATATGGAATTTGGCAACTGTTCAATTGAAGTCTCACTTAAATTGAGAACACAGAGACCACACATCTGCTCAAAAAAACATTCTGGGATAAACTTGAGAGGATTTTTACTTAAAATCAACGATGAAAGTCTAGGACACTTCGGTGATGTTCCAGGTGAAATGCCATCTATATTGTTATCCATCAAGGAGACCTTGTCCAAATCTTCTGTCCAGTTCTGTACCTTTGGTATTTCCGTTAACTCAAGTCCAGCTTTTACCATGTATCTAGGGTTATGTTCAGTGATCGTTATTGCCATTTCTCTGATCAAATCATGCATCTTCACTATCTCTCTATCTGTCTGAATTTCCACTAAGCAGGCTTTCTCTAGTTCATTTAGTATTGCATGGCCTTGGTCAAACGCTGATCGCCTACTCAATCTTCTATCTATGAGCTCTTCTGAAATGAAATTTGCAATCAATTCGTCTCTTGGAATATCATAGTCTTCAGGATACAAGGAGCAATACAAAAAACAACTTTTTAGCTTTGGATCCTTCAAGCAGTTAAAACTGTACAAGAGTATTGACATTACTCCATTTCCCATGTTTGCTTGCCCCATACACGATTTATTTAGTTCTTTTGATACATCTCTCCATTCATGAATGCCAGTCACCCCCTTCGTGCTTCCAGCCAATGTGGCTAGTGCAAGTGGCAAACCGCTGCATCTTTTGGCCATTTGCTTACAAATATCTTCTGCTTCTGGCAAAAATTCAACACTGTTAAGTTTATTTGAAAAGAGTTCCCAAGCTTTTTTCTCAGTAAGTGTGTTCACTTTTATAATCTTCTGGCAGCCCATTTGTTGACAAACTTCTAGTGATCGACTTGTTATAATCAACTTGCATCCATCCATTCCAAGAGGAATACCTATATTCTCCGTGTCAATCTGTTTCGATAAATCATCCAGTATAAGTACAAATCTTCCTTGATTCTTTAATTCCCGGAATAGTTCAACCGCCTTTTTCTTCTCATCACTCTCTTTTGAGATACCTATTTTCAAAGCTAGGGCAATAGAATTCTGCAATTTGTAAATGCTAAACTCTTGGGAGATAGAGGCCCAACATACATGAGGCGAGTATTTGGGTTCGTTTAAGAGCTTATCATGGACACGCTTTGCTAGGGTCGTTTTGCCTACTCCCCTAATTCCATAAATGCCAATTCTTAAGATGTTGTCATCCATTAACGATGCCCAGATGTCATTGAAATTTTGTAGAAATGCTAGGCCAATACTCTCATTATCCTCAAGAAAAAGCCCTCCAGAAAAATCCGCTTGCTCAACAAGCTCTACCACTTCCTTGATCATTCTTTCAACTCCTTCTGCCAACTTTTGTTGGGAATAAGCAAGATAAAATCTGTTGGATTGTACTTCTTGTTCCAAGCTTTCGAATTCGTATACATCTTCCGACGTTAATCAACCAATCTTCAACCTCTCTCTTGCCTTTTTTTCCAGAAAGATGTGCTGCATTTTGTAATTCTACATGCACATCTGCTGCTCGACTTTTCAGCAATTCAATTTTTCTAGTAAGAGTTTGTATATTTCCCTCCAAGTCTCTGATAGTGCTTAACAATTGATCCATGTGAATTCCTACAAATATACCATGTAAATACAGTCGAATACAAATGCGACACTTTTGTTATTATCCAGACAAATTATATTATGAGAAAACGTTGATTTCTTTCAAATAAAAATTGAATTCTTGCAGAGACATTAAAAAAAAGTTAAAATTCGCCATTATTACATTGTTGAAATATAAAAAAAAATTTCGATTAGGTAATATATTATTAAAATGTAGAAACTGATTTATTAGGAATTTTTCTGAGACATATATAGAGTATCAGTATGTAGCCATCCCTAAGAAAAAATGAGGGGAAAAGAAAAAGAAAAATCCATTAAAATATTATTGAATTGGAAAGCCGATAAAACTCACCATAAACTCGATTCTCACGACGAGGGGATATTTCTAACAACTGAAACTTTTTGTTAAAGTTGTAGATAAACTCTCTCTATAATATTCAATAATCAAGTTCTAAATAGAGGCTCAATTTGGGATTGATTTTAGAGTCCCAACTCCTTATTATCAAACAATCATAGATATTTTAGATGTTCGATAAATTTTAAAAAACAAATAATGGAATAATCTTCTTTATACAATAATTAGTTGACCTACTTCTTTGAATGGCTGCAAATCTTCTTCATTTGGATTAAGTAGTACTCAATACACTAATTCTGAGACGAGATGAGTATATATATGTAAGAAGAAATAACCAAATTATTATATCATTGAAAATCAATCAACAAAATCATATTTATTTATATAGAAAAAATGCGATGAAACTCTAATGGATGCAGGAGTAGATTAATATATATTTACCTTGAATCGATAAAATCTTTGAGCAATTCTTTTATAAGTTCAATCCACTTTCAATCTCAATAAAGTAAAAGAAGAGTATAGTTAATTAAGATGAATTAATGGCAGAAAGCTGTGGGTTGAGGGAGAAGCATATATGCTACTTTCGAGTTTTAACTTTTACATTTTTGGCATTGTGATGAGGCCACTCCAATGATTTCCACCATTCTTTGTCTCCAATTACATGGATTAATGCAAGACGTGAAGGAGGAGATAGCTGTCCATCGAGTAGCGGTAAATATAAAGGGAATTCTTTTATATTTTTAATGCCCCCCAACGTAATGTTCTCAATGGAATCACAAAGCATCTTTCCCTTACAGATGCTCTTTACTTGTGGCAGATTCTTTAGATAAAAGCTCTTTAACCTTGGCAATGTGATATCAACTCCTTCATTTTCGTCATCTTCTATTATCTCCTCCATTTGTGCACAGTCCTGGACATCCAAGTATTCGAGGTTATGAAAATTATGTACCAAACTCTGAGGGAAAACCTTCTTGATTTTATGACAGCCACGAATCCTTAACCATCGGAGACAGGAAAATGTTCCATGTGGAAGAGGTGCAGCAACTGCTTCCCACTTGAAGAGACCAATTAAATTTGGCAATTCAGTCAGATCCAACCTTTCAAGGCTTTGGAATGGGACCCCTCTAGATTGTTGTTCTTCCTCTAACCTCATAATGCACTCTATTTTATCCTCCCTTTCTATCGTGCATTCCTTTAAATTTCTAGCAGAACTCAAAGTTGGAAATTCGTCCAATAAACAACCACTCAAGCCACTTCTTGAAAAATATAAATTCTTGATATCTTCCGACAGCTTATTCTCATCCGTGTCTAAAGAGGATTCCTTGAGAACATCTTCTCCAAAATGTAAAAGTTTACGTGGAAAATAGATCTCTGTTTCTTTTTCTATTACTTGAGAACCAACTGTAATATGGTAGAAATAGAGTGGCTTGAAAATTCGTCGTGAGTTGATTAACCGATTGAGATCATGTACGCTATTTAACCTGCATGTCAAAACTTGCAACTGTTTCAATGTCTCAACTTCTTCCATCGGTACATCTAAATGATCTGGCCACTCGAGCTGCTGAAGATGTGTGTGTCTACGCAAAGTCCCCGTCGGTATCATCTTTAGTCCATCACACAACAAACTTAAGCACTTGAGGTTGGTTAAGCTTTCCATACCTTGGGTTACTTCTTTAATACTAGTAAATGAGAGCCCCAAATATCTCAATTCCTTGAGCTTTTCCAACGATGGCACTGATACCAGAAAAAGACAACCTATGAGCACTAATGCATTAAGCTTCACCAAGTCTGATATGGAATTTGGCAAGCTCTCAATTTCAGTTTCACTTAAATCGAGAGTGCGTAACCCACACATTTGCGTAAAGAAACAATCTGCAATCAATCGTAGAGGATTTTCTCTCAAGATCAAGGTGGAAAGACTTGGACACTTAGGTGACGTGCCAGGTGAAATTTCCTCTATAGAGTTGTCCATCAAGGAAACCTTATCCAAATCTTCTGTCCACTTTTGCTCCTCTGGTAATTCCTTTAAGTGAAGTCCAGCTTTTACCATGTACCTCGGCTTGTCTTTAGTGATCCCTATTGCCATCTCTCTGACTAAATCATGCATCTTCAGCTTCCCGTATGAATCACTTTCCAATAAGCAAGCTCTCACCAACTGATTTAGTATTGCATGACCTTGGTCTACTTCAGCTTTCAAGTTTAATCTTCGCTCCATCAGCTCTTCTAAAACGAAATGTCCAATCAATTCTTCTCTTGAAATACGAAAATCTTCAGGATACAAGGAGCAATACAAGAAACAATGTTGTAGCCTTGTATCCCTCAACCTTTGATAACTATACAAGAGAATTGGAAAAACCTCAATTTCCATGCCGGCTTGTCTCATGCGCGATTCTTTCAGTCTTTCCGATGCATCTCTCCATTCATGAATGTCATTCACGCCCCTCATGCTTCCAGCCAATGTGATGAGTGCAAGTGGCAAACCACCACATTTGTTTACCATGTTCTTGCAAATCTCTTTTACTTCTAAAGAAGGTTCACCACAGTCAAGTGTCTTCAAGAATAAGTCCAAAGCTTCTTGCTTAGAAAGTGTGTTCACTTTTATAATCTTTTTGCAGCACATATAAAGACAAATTTCTTCTGATCGACTTGTTATGACCAACTTACATCCATCCCTTTCAAAAGGAACACCTATCTTCTCTACATCAATTCGTTTCCAAACATCATCCAGTATAAGTACGAATCTCCCTCTTTTCTTGAATTCCTGGAAGAGTTGAGCTGCCCTTTTCTTCTCATCACTCCCACACGAAAAATTTAGTTTCAATGCTTGGGCAATGTCAGTTTGCAATTTGTCAATGCTGAACTCTTGAGAGACAGTGACCCAATAAACATGACCCGAGAATGTGGGTTCATTTAAGAGCTTATCATGTACACGCATTGCCAGAGTCGTTTTGCCTACTCCCCCCATTCCATAAATGCCAATGCTTAAGATGCCGTCATCCATTAATGATGTCCAAACGTCATCTAAATTTTGTTGAAATGCTTGGCCATTCCGTTGGGATGTTAACGATAGCGGGCCAACACTCTCATTAACCTCCAGAAAAAGCCCGCTAGGAAAATCTCTTCGTTCAACTCGGAATGGAGTCAGGCTCGGTTCCTTTCCTCCCTGGCCCGCTCCGTCGCTTCCTCAATCATTCTTTCAAGCTGTTCGGCCAACTTTTGTCGTTTGAAAACATGATAAAATCTGCTGCTTATTGGTTCCAAGGTTTCAAACTCTTTTATAATGTTTTCAACATTATTCATCCAATATTCAACCTCTCTCTTGCGTTTTTTTCCAGAATGACGTAATTCTTCATCAACATCCTCTTTTCGATTTTTCAGTAATCGTATATTTTTCTGAAGAGTCTTCCTTTTTTCTTCCAAGTTTGGGCATAGCCGTGCAACAATGTTTTGGAATATCGGTGCACCCAATTCTAACACCTTATCCACCATGGCTTCCTGCAAATATCATGCAATATCAATATTGTTATGACTTATAAACAGTCAAAATACCAACGGAACACTTAAGATATTACTTTGAGAAATATTAAATTCGGTAGAAAGGAATCCTTCATTTTGTACAATCTCAGCCCCGTTTTGGAGAGATTTTGAAAATTGTTAGAAGAAAAGTGGGGTTATTTGTAAAGAAAGAAGTCAAATTTTACTGTTAAAATAGTTAAATATTGGGGTGAAAAATCACCCCCAAATACCCTCTCAAATCTCAATCAGGAAAATTTTAAGAATCCCCCGAGTGTGTGCCGTTGTACGTATAGCTCAATTTCAAATCATTAATTTATTTGGAAGTATGTGAACTTTTACAGAAACTTAAATTAAGAGATAATTCACTATTTATATATTATTTAAATCTAAAAAAAAAACTGCTCTATTATTATTTTGCTGACAATTAAGTGATTAACTAGTCAAGGTTCCTATCCAACCACATAAATGACGACATATTATATTTAAATTTTATTTTATTTCTTTCTCTTACTTTTTTCCTCAAATCATCCAAAAATATGGCACGCCAGTCTTTTGTGTCACATGCGTTTGATTGCAAGTATGAAATTTGTATGGAAAAAAATAAATTTTAGATAATTTAATTATTTAGAATTTATTTGAATAGAAATTATCAATTAAATGTATTTGGTTAATTTAATTTTTAATTTAGAAAATATTATACTTGTCCATTTTTTATTGGTGGGTTAATGAGAGAGGGTGGATAAATAAGAGAGAGAAAGAGAGTAAATTCTGTGGAAAATAAAATCTCATTCTTTCGAAAGAAAATATTTTCCTTGATTTTGAGGAAAATATGGTCATGTCACCAAAAGTGTAAAAGTATTTTTCATGAAAAAATGGCAATCAAACAGTACAAAAGTAGGAATTTGATTAGAAAAAAACACATTTTCCATGAAAAATATAAGTAATCAAATGCACTTTTAAAATAAAATTTATTTCTCTCTCTTACTTTTTACCGAATTTAATTTTTAATACCCGTCTCCCGCTTATTTGTTATTCATCATAATAATGAAAAGTTTCAGAACTAAAATACACTTAGCTGCATGGAAAATTGGAACGATACAACAGACGTTATTTAAATTCACAATTTTATCAAAATTAATGCAAAAAAAACAAAATTACAAAAACCTTATTTATCCCCTAACAAATTGTAGTGATTTGATATTGAGAAAAAGAGATATTGTACTGGCCGTATTGAATATGGGACCAAAATTCCTCCAAAAATTAAGCATATCACTCAAAACGCTTCGAGAACGAAGGTGTGAGTCAACTATTAATAATTTAATCAGGATAATAAATGAAAAAATTTAACGACCATGAAAGGAAGAAAGAGATCAATATTACGTAACCTTGAATCAAATAATCTTGAAAGTCCTGAAACAAACAGAGCAAGGACCAACCTAGAATAGAATAAAGAGAAAGCGCCCCCCAGGGCACATCCAAGTTGACGGAACAATCACATTGGGGGGCTCTGAAATCAAGCGTGGGGAGTTCGATTCCTGGTGGGAATCTTTGATCCAATAAAGGAGGAATTATTGGTGGATTAATCACCATGGAGGAGGCTCCCTTTGGGGAATGAGTAAAAGCCATGTGGGAACCTGGGAACCAACAAGGGCAAATCCTGCGATTTACCTCCCTGAGCAGCTGAGGGGCCGGAGGTTCAGGGACGAGGATATAATCTAGCGCAAGCTGGGACACCTC